AAGCCTGGGGTTCAATCCCCGCCGCCGGAGGAGGTTTCCCCGTTGTTTCCCCTCCTGACAGCTCCTCGGCCCCCGTGCCTGGCGTCCCAGCCTTCCCCAAAAGTGCCCCCCAGGCAGGTAATCCCTGGCATCCCTGCCTTCCCAGAAGGTACCCCCGTGGTAGGCAGTCCCTTACTTACCAAGAAGTACTCCCCGGCAGGGCATTGCTGCCTTCCCAAAAAATAGCCTCCTGGCAAACGGTCCCCATCCCCTGCTCCTGGTCTCGCAGTCTTCCCAAAACGTACCCCCCTGGCAAGTGATCCCTGTCCCCTGCTCCTGGCATCCTGGCCTTTCCTAAAAGTACCCCCTGGCAGGAGATTCCCCAAAAGTATCCCCCTGGCAGGAGATTCCCCAAAAGTACTCCCCTGGCAAGCCATCCTGGCCTTCTGCTCCTGGCATCCCAGCCTTCCCAGGAAGTACACCCCGGCTTGATGATCCCTTGCATCCTTCCCTTTCCAAAAAAGTACCCCTCTGGCAAGGGATCCTCAGCCCCTGCTCCTGACGTTCCTCCCTTCCCAAAAAGTACCCCCCTGGCAGGTGATTCCTGCCTTCCCAAAAAGTAGCCCTCTGGCAGGCAATCCCTGCTCCTGGCATCCTGGCCTTCCCCAAAAGTACCCCCAGCAGGTGACCCCTGGCATCATGGCCTTTCCAGAAAGTATCCCCCCGCAGATGATCCCAACCCCCCTGCCTCTTCTGGACAGCGAGGGCAGCACTTGGCGGATGTTTTCCCTTGTACCTCACTGTATTTTTTCTGATTTATTTTCTATTATTATTATTATATTCCTTTATTAATTAACCTTAGTGCAATGGGATTTTCATGCGTTCCTTGTAGGTGGCAGTCTTGAAGCTCCTCTTGGGACAGCATGGTACGCACTGGTTCAAAAGCTGTGGAGGAGCTACCGCTGATTTCACAAAGTCCCCGGGAATAGCACCGCGAGCAAAAGGTTCGCATGTGGGATGTGCCGGGCGGGGATGAAATGTGTGCGTGTGGGATGCTGGCCACGCTATACTTCTGCCCTGCTGTGGGGTTTCGAAGCTTTGCCGTGGCAGATGGCCCTAGGGTTTCACGTAGTGCCTCGAGTGAATTTGCAGGGTTTTTTGGGTTTTTTTGATGGCTTGGAGGCTCCTGGGTTTCTTGCCTCCTGGAGAAATGTGCTCTACTGAGGCTGGGTTTGCACACTGAGATGCATGTGTTCTACTCCCTAAGTCCTCCTCCTTTGCTCATTTTATTCACCTCCTCTGTCACTCTGCACGTGTCGACTTCTGAGTAGAGAGAAATTTGGGTTGTGAACTTGGGTTCTGAGGCAAGTTCTTTGCGCAAGAGGGATGGACTAAGGATGGAGTTCTTTATTTTCAGCTTTCCTTGCAAGCTAGTCTGCAGGAGGCTTTCGCATAATTTCCTGTAATATATCTGAGCAGAAATAAATGGCGTTTTGTCAGAATGGTACATTTGCGTCATTTAAAAATTAGTTCTCTTCAAGGTACTTGGTTTTCTCTAGAACCTGGGTCTGATTTTGCTGTATTTTGAGAAATTGCAGCTTGATGTACAACAGGTGTAAGGTGCGGTTTTGTTGGGGAGATACTTGAGTAGGGGCTTGTGCTCTCATAATAGCAAAGAGCAGAAACGACTGTTTTTGTAGACTCAAAGACGTGCATGAAAGCCTCTGAAAACGCAAGGTTTCTTCCAAGAAAAGTGTGTTTTGTAACACTGCAAATGCCTCCCAATGTATTTTGCCTTGTATTTCAAAACGCCGCCGCGTCCCAAGATGCAGAGAGGTGTTTGAGAGCGAGAACGGAAAAGTCGAGAGTGGTTGGCAAGCTCATTTTTCTCTTTATAAAACTGGAGCATTCCAGGTTATGGGTGAAATATCTTTCTTGCTGAAGGGTTGCTGCGTGCCAGAAATTTTGGGAGCCGAGCGGTGCCTTGCTCGCTCCCAGCTGGCACAAGTTTTCCCACTCAAAGGAAGGAGAGGTTTCAGGTCCACGCTCTTTGCCAACCACAGAAATCTGCAGTGATTCAGAAGTCCTTATCGAGCCCTGGCGATATGAAGCGAAGGAGTAATCTGGGCTTCCAGGGACTTGGACGCACAGCTGCCCTACCTTTGCAGAGGGATGTGATAGTAAATTTTTGCACAGCCCTCTGTGGACATTTGTGCTTGTGGTTTAATTTAGGGAACGAGAGCAGGTTTAAGCTAAACCACAGTGAGCCACACTTAAGCCAAGTCAATCTCCAGAGAGTGTTTTGCAGTAGATTAACCAAAGCGACACCTCCAGGGCTTGCTTGCTCAAAGACCAGTACGCCCTCTCGTTCCGTGCTGGAGCGATTTGTCCTGGCCCAGGCTCTCTAAATTGTTCCCCTGTACCAGCGATCTGGCAAGGAAGGGTCATGGTTTGTTTGCTTTTAATGCGATGCTTGACAGACTTTTAAACCTGATTGTAAATAACAAGAGCAGTCTCAGGCCGGCAGCCTTTTTGGAAGGTGTTGGACAGCTTCTCTCCCTCCTTGGGTCCTCCTCTCCACTCCCAGCTCTTCCCTTTTCTCCTGGACTCTTGCCACTGTCTCTGTTGCTTGCCGCTGGTGTTGGCAGCGCCGACGCAGCCAGACTCGAGTGAGCGTGGCAGGACTTACCTCGCCTGTGGGTGCTCCTTGCCAAGTAGGAGCCAGTGCCCTGCATAGTTCGGTTGACAATCTTTGGTTTTGGTGGGTTTTTTTCTTCCTGCTCCCCTGCGTGCATCAGTAAATTTGAGGCTTAAATATACTAGAAGAATGGCTTATTAAATATTCGTGAAGTCTGTGTATCAACTTTTGATTAAATAAGGGGAAAAAAAGTAGCCCCAACAGTAGCAAACGCAAATGTTCAAGCGATTCTTGGCTGTCAGTTTTCATTATGCGTCTCATCAGGGCTTGATTATTGCTGTCGCGAGTCTCCATGACGGGCGTCTCAGTCCCCACTTCCCTTCTGGAAGGCTTTAAGAGAGAACTGGCTGGGAACACCAGTTCTTGTTATGATTTGGATCTGATCCTTATTCTGTCTTCAGGCGATTTTTGCCTCACATCATCACCTAATTAAGGATTGCCCCTGTTTCAGAGAAAGCCTGCTCGGTTTACCTTGCTTTGAGCCGCTGCATTGAAATATTTACCGTAGATTTCTATTATTTAAAATTGCTCTGGCTCGGAGTCATCTCACTTTTTGGGCTGATTTCTTTTCGGCCACTTTTTTGCTCCTGCCATTTTTTCCTCGAAGGAGGCCTGAATTTACAAGGTGTGATGCTCTGCTGAGAAATCGGCAGCAGTTGTTGCCTTTGAGCTCCAAAAAAACCACAACCCCAACCAAATGAAAAAGAATCCCTGTACTTATGAATCTTTTCCATTGAGGCTCATGCCAGTGCCTGGTTTTGGATGCATCTGAGGGATTGAAAAGATGTCGGGCTCATATCTTTGTATAAACAGTCTTGCAATAGTTAGCTGGAGCATCTGCTGTGGATGTTTCTGGCCTTTGTATGCTGCTGCGTTAGTGTTTTGGGCAGTTTTGGTGTTTGCCATGTAAGGTGTTTACGCAAATGAGCCTTACAAAGTTTGTCCTTGGGGAAAATGTACCTGATGAAGTCCTGTTTTTGTGCTTTTAATTGTAGCTTTCGTCATGGGGGACATGAAAACCCCAGACTTTGACGACCTGTTGGCTGCTTTTGACATCCCCGATCCAACCAGCCTCGATGCCAAGGAGACCATCCCGTCGGCCGGGGAGGAGAACGAGAATCACCTCAAGTCGTCAGGAATCTGTATAGATGAGAACGTGTCCTTATCCCACTCTTTGCCTCCCTCTGACGCTCCAGTTGTGAGCGTGATAGTGAAGAACACGAGTCGCCAGGAGTCCTTCGAAGCAGACAAGGAGGGGAATCACCTTGGGCCTGGCCTGCTGCACAATGGGTTTCGTGGGTCCGATCTGCCATCAGAGGCTCATGCTTTGGTGCATAGTTATGGCAAGTTTGAGTCGACTTTTATCAATGGCGACAGCTCGAGGAGTTACTCCGAGAAACTGGACCAGGCCAAGTCAGAGCCCTTGCCAACTTTTAGTCAGTTTAGCCCCATTTCCAGCCCTGAACCAGAGGATGCGTTCAAAGAGAACAGTATTGGTGATAAACCCAAACATGCTCAAACTCCGTATTTTCCACCACCTTCGATGTACATACCGACAGGAGCTTCAGTGCTAGATCATCTGAGGAAGGTGCCAGAGCCCGAATTAAGCATGTTTGATCAGTACTGTAAAAAGGAACAAAAGATGGAAATCCACTGCCCACCAGAGAATAGGCTGGAAATGAGCAGGAGAGAACAAGACAAAGCTCCGCAGAGGTTTGCAGACTCAGGCAAGGACTTGGTAGATACCAACAGCTTTCTTGGGGAAGGCTTGGTGTTTGGAGACCTCTCTCACAATAATTTAGGAGAAAGTAAAGGGTCTGTGCCTGACCTGAATGTGTCTCCATCGGTACCGCCTCGTCAGAGGTTAAAGCCAACTCACTCGAAGTTGTCATCCTGTGTGGCAGCGTTGGTAGCTCTTCAGGCCAAAAAGGTTGCATGTATTCCCAAAGGTGATCAGCCAAACCTTACCAAGGAACCTGGTCCTTTCAAAGACGGGACGAAGGGAAGTCCAAAAATGCCCAAGTCACCAAAGAGTCCCCGAAGCCCCTTAGAGGTGGTGAGGAAGGCCAGCAAGCAGCCCGAGAGCCCTCGAAGCGTGTGCAGTGACAGCAGCGGGAAAGGCTCTCCATCCATGGCGGCTGGCTCTCCGCCAGCTATTCCCAAAGTTAGGATAAAGACCATCAAGACATCCTCTGGTGAAATTAAAAGGACAGTAACAAGGATTTTGCCAGAAAACGATGAGCTGGGCAAATCTTCGGAGGAGTTACCTCTGGAAACCTCATCCACTGAAGAGTTTATCAAATCTTTCCCCTCTCCCGACACGAGTGCAGTTGCGGAAAGCGAGGCTGGCAAGACTTCAACCAATAACGAGGCCACTGTGGCCATCCAACTGTCGAATGCAACAAGCCCTTACACGGACGGCGCGAAAGTAGATCTCACCATGTGCACCGTGTCCTTATCTCCGCTGCCAAACTGCAGTGGCGCCGTAAAAGCGGCCTTCAAGAAGCAGCAGGGTGTTGGGACACAGCCGGCCAACACAACCACCTCCAGCCTTCTCCCCAAAGCTGTGCACTTGGCAAATCTCAACTTGGTCCCACACAGCGTCGCCGCTTCTGTGGCGGCCAAGTCGTCCGCGCAGAGGAGGAACCAGACACAGGTGACACAGATGTCGGTGCCACTTGTGCACCAGGTCAAGAAAGCAGCTCCCGTCGTTGTGGAGGCATTTAATAAAGTCCTGCACGGTGCCAACCCGGTGCCAACATATACTCCGAACCTTAGCCCTCCTCCTGACACCAGTATTAATTTGCCTGCCTCTGGGTATTGTTGCCTGGAATGCGGGGACTCCTTTGCCTTAGAGAAAAGCCTGACTCACCACTATAGTCGCCGGAGCGTTCACATCGAAGTCGCGTGCACTCAGTGCTCAACCACGCTCCTCTTTTTTAACAAGTGTAGCCTGCTCAAGCACGCGCGAGATCATAAAAGCAAAGGGTTCATCATGCAGTGCTCGCAGCTGCTGCTGAAGCCAATTGCCGTCGACCAAATGTTTTCGTCTTCTCCCGCGAGCTCGCCGCCGGCCTCTCTGGCTCCTCAGACTTTTCGTTCGCCCTCTCCCTCACGGAAGCCGGGCGTCG